TTAAAACACAGTAAATTTGTATTATTTAAGTTTGCAGATGATTTTTTTATTAGGTGCCTCTGAATGCGACCCACATTTGCACAATTGCAGATCTTGCTGGAAACTAGATCTTGTTAGGCTGGTTTCTGACCACATGTCTACATCATGTTATAAATTATTGTAGTAAAAGCAGTGCTAATATATTCTTTAAGTTCAGAGAATAATAATAATTACAAAATTTCACGGTGCTCAGTTATGTTCATTTAATTCAAAAAGTTTATCAAAGATGCGTAATATTTCTGAAGAAATTTCTATAATTTCACATAATATATAAATATTACGTAAATTGCGCAAACGTTTTGTGTAGTTCCGAATATTGCGAATATTATATGCAAATGGTAGTAAGATTTTTTTACAATAAATTAGTCTATAACAATGTTATTAAAATCCAAATAGAAAGTAATACCTGAGGCGTAAAGTTAAATTGGACAAATAATTAATAATGTTTTCTTACATAACAGCCACTTTACCGTCGAAAGCAACATATTTTGTAAAATTCGAAACATTTCTTACATTTACGTAAAATTTGTTAAATCTCTTCGAATTAAATCATAAAGTATCACAATTATAATATGTTATATTAAAATCTACCAGTGATAAAATTAGTTTTACAAATTTAGCATAATTACATCGGCTTACCTTTCGAAATACCTGTTAATTATTGTACTTTGAACTGTACTGTTCGTAATTAGTTGTATGCACAATTAGATGGTTTTTGCACCTTGCATTGTTTGTTAACGTTGCAACGTCTCAACTGTAAGTAATCCTATCATTTTTGTTATTTTCGAAAACTGACACTTACTAAATTGCAATATACCGTTATTTACGAGGAAGGCCAATTTATTCGTTATCCTTTTTGTAATTACTATTGATTTCATAAAACGTTTATGCAGTTTTGTCTTCCAAGGATGATTGGGCTATTATTTATATTAAAACAACGTTTGTTTTAAACGATTCTGACGCAAAAGCTTCCTCTTCCTTTTCTCATAGCGGAAGATTGTCAACCAAAATTTGCGTCATCCAAATTCTTCAACCGTGACATTAAATACAAACGACAAAAGAATGACGTGTTTATATAAACTGTTTAAACTGAAAGCTACGAGTATATAAAAACTGGTTATCTAAGTTTTACGAATAATACGACAAATGTTCACTGGTAATTGCTTCTTACACTTTTTTGCAACTTTAACTTTACATCGGTTTCGTCGCTGTACAATAACAAAAAAAATCTCACTAAAACCACTTTTGTTTTTTCAATATATAATTTCTCTTTGTAACTTATGTACTTAATTACGGATATAAAAGAAAGATTGAGAGAATGCTTTTAAGTTGCTGGATTAAAGAAAGACATTTCCTAGTCTTAGAAATGTCCATCAAGTCACTAATGCTGTGTCGAGAAACTAAAATAACTAACTAAAGTAAAACTAAAGTACTTCCTTATAAGTTTATAAAACCAACAAAATGCGTATCAACGATCTTTGTATTGTTTAAATATGTAAGATACGTTTGCACCGAATCTTTTGTAAAAAAATTATCAAATACAATTCTTTAGAACTTAAAAAGTGATTTAAAATCTAACATAGATGTTTTTTATAAGATAGACCAAATTCTAAGATGTCTATAATAATGTAGCTGTTAGCAAAGACTTTACATAATCGATTAATTAGTTATACAAATAATAAACTAATGATCTATTGTTTAAAATAATTCTAATTTCCGTGTTGAGAGATTGGCAAAATAATTTCCAAGGTCAAAGCTGAGCCAGTACTTTAAAAAATATTTAAATTATCCATCACACAGAATCTGTCTTGAAAATTACGACAAGGAGTTTTATTTTAATTATGTAGCTTTTATTCAATTTTTAAAAGTTATAATTACATTTAGTCGTAATATTTTGACTCTATATTTTTTAATGTTAGAGATACCCTGTACCTAATCTTAATATCAACAAATTCTTATCGACTTTTCACTGGAACTTTACTTGGGCTCTTAAAAAATGAAAAGAGAAACAAAGTTATTAAACCTGTAAAATATGTCATGTTCTTCCCAGCAATGAGAGAGTTTCTTTTAAACGGGATTTTGAAATATATAAGAAACTTACAAAAAACCCCCTACAGATTATGAATTTTCAAAATCCAAAATGGGAATTGGGAATCAATTCAAACAAGACTCGACACTATGGTACTGGAATAATTGGCGAGTACAGTCTTTTATGACTACTCAGAAATAAATACCATAATATCATGTACGTTTGTAATGCAATTTAATTTTTTTCATTCATTATCATAATAATATTTTGATCACACTATGCCACGGATATAGTAAAAAACGTAGGATAGTTTCAAACAGAAAAAACTACTGTTCCCAATGTATAAAAACCTCTTCTACGCGAACTAATCCGCTGTGTTATAATAACATAACACAAAATAGTAACATGTGGTAGTACCAATTAAGAAAACAAAAAGAAAAGAGGATCATTAGCTTACAGAAGTTTTAACATTTGTATCTCCAGTCTGGAAAAAAAAACTTTAACAGTCACGATATACTTTAGCCTGTTGTAGTACAGTTATATTAATGTTCATACTAAGAATTACGACAGAGTTAGTAGGTATTATGTAAAGGTATCACTTCGCATCAGGCCCAAATAACATAGTAGTTAAAAGCTTAGTCACAAACCTCGTGAAACGTAACACTGATGTTATAAGTAGCTTTAAATTTTCTAGTCCCTAGGGCTGCCACATACATAATTTGTATAATCTGTGCCTTGTATAATTGTATACAATTTCTCTTCTAATGAAATACCTTTCATGTAACGTAAACTGCTCTTTTTTACACATGTAACTGGATAAACGAGCGCAGTCTGAAAAATGGTAAACATGCAACACTTACGTGTGGCCTAAACTACAATCCCAACCTGGACTAGCTTCAGAAACAAAAATGACCTGACTCTATTCAGCAGCAATTTATAATCAACATAAAACTGATTATAGGTCTTTGACATTTATTAGCGATAGATACAGTTCATTATAGACTTATTGTGCCAGCAAGTCCTACTTACTATATCTTTGTACTGTGCAGAGCTAAGTTTACTATAACGAAACCATGCAATTAGTATAATGACATCCAAACGGTATTAAAATGTTGGAAACATTTAAAATCAGGTGCCTAAGATCTAAACTCAAACTCAAATTCTCTGTATTTCATAAGGTATAAGGTATGTGATACAAATAAGGCCTACCTTATTTCAAACACTCATGTCTTGATAAATAATTGAAGAAGGTGATAAATAAAATCAAATAAAAGCAAGTATTATTCTTTGATATATAAATTTTAAATAATTGCTCTTCAAATTTTAAATAACCACTTAAACAGAGGTAATACTGGAACCTTTGGCCTATTTAAAACATAGTGACTTGCCTATAAACTTAAATTATATGAATGTTGTTATAATTTAAAATTACTTTAAAATTTAAATTACTAATTTAAAAATATGTATTTCTGAGCCTTTTATCGACTGTTAATTTTTTTTTCTTGCAGGTCCTAGAGCCTCTTGTCAGGGTCCGTTAATAGACGTCTAGCCAAGCCTATAAAATAATCTAGTGACCTCGATCCAATATATGCCATTTTTCCACTGTGCCCTCTGCTAACTAAACGGACACAAATACCTCTAAAGGTGGATAACTGCAGCACTGCCGCTTCAAAAAAAAATCTTAGTTGGAAGCAGCAAGATAATTCAGCCTAATATTCCTAGAGCAAAATAAGACAACGCTGCCCTCAAAGTCTTGTAGTTATGCTGTATACACCATTTAATCAGTAGAGGTTAACAAACAAAGATTTACCTAGATGTGAATTAATGTTTATTGTGTAAACATTTATAAATCACTCAGCGTACAATTCACAAGTTATTGTGTATCATTCGAAGCCTTATACTTAATACAAAACTACAATAAGTTGAGTAATAAGAGTGGAAAAATGACTTTATATTGTTACTCTGTATTGCGATATTGCATACTTGCATAGTTAAATAAGACAAGGCTAATACTACTACAGAGAACAGTCTAACAACTTAATTATTAACTAATTTATTAGAGGAAAAAAATCAAAACGATTGTAACGTTGCGGTGGCAGTGTAGTTGTCCCGTTAGTCAAAACTTTACTATTACAACACTGTTTTGAACACGTAATTGAATGCCAATACCGGACTAAAATTTTTTTCAGAAGACATTGACAATGAGAACAGTCCAAACAGCCACAATTAACTTGTTGTAAAGGTCATTGTGCAACATTCGTGCGCAAAGAGAGCCGCAATAATTAACGTTCCTACCCAATTAAAGTCAAATGCAACAACATAAAATATCTAAAGTCCTTGCAGCGTGAATCCGTCATTTATAAGTTTTTCATTGCAAGATTGTGTGAGGAAACAGTAGTATTTATTAATAAATATATTTTTAATAATTACTGATAATATATGTCTACTTTATTTAAAATATTTTTTATTGTTTGTTCTTTCTTGTTGTATCTCTAGAACTGTGAGTCAGATTTGTATAATTCTTTATTCATTGAGGAAGGTCAGTATTAACATCACGCTACGATTCTAAGGAGTGTTGACCATAAATCGCAGGTAAAACAGCGGGGACCTAATGACTTAAAACAACTTATATATACATCAAAGCAAAAAATACAAATCGGTTTAATTAGTTTTACAGAGATGTTTTATATCTAACTCTCTATCTGACTAAACATTTACTTAAATACAAAAGTTTGAAATATAAAAGTTATAAAATAAATTATATTCAGTACCTACAACCTACCTACTTAAATGTATGGTTTTCCATTTCTCGTAATTTATAAGGATAGATACAGTTGTAGATGACAGTATAAAGGAGTTACTTAGAAAACTAATATTAAATAAACTGCTTTTTCAAAGCAGTTTATTTAGCAGTTTCTCAAATCGTACTTACCGCATAAATAAAGAGTAAGTATTTCCATTTTGTAATCCATTGTTATTGTACAATTGTTTAAAGTTTATCATTCATGCAGGCAATTATTATTCAAAAGCACGTAAGAAATGATGTAAAATTATCCGCGTAAAAACTCAACGGCTGAACTCGCGCGTGCGTCCGGCGCGCTTCGCGATACGAGTAAGACAAGTGACCGCATGTAGCAAGGAACGCAGACTTAACAGATAAATTATTCGTCAGATTAAAACCTTCCTGCATATATCTGAATGCAATCGGCGCACACACTTTCAATATGGGGATGAAATAAACACTCACTGGGTTTATATCTAATTATGTTGGTAACGTAGTTTTAACAGAACTATGACTAAGTATATATAATATAGTCTTAAGTTAAGTTTAACAAGTGAGTATGGAATGTTCTAGAAATAACATACTGAAAGCACTGCATGCCTTTACATCATAATCCTCTACAGGCATACGTTTTAAGTCATCTTAGTACCGATTTCAATAAAAATGTAGGGATATTAAAATACACGACTGATATATTGAGTAACCTCCCTAGCCAGAGTCCTGCTTTTCCCATTCATTCTATGACGTAAGAATATGTATGAATTAGAAATGGAATGGTTGAGAATTTAAGGTTGCCGTGCCTTGTCTGATCCCTCGATGAGACCCCGCTAATCTAATGCTAATTAGCACCTGGTGGACTCAAAATATAAACTTTCCAGAACCCTGACTATAATCTCGGCCTCAATTATATATTTACTTAAATAAATGAATTTTGATTTTGAAAAATGAATGCAGCCAGGCGTCTAATGAATGTATACAAACTTGTTTGTACATATTTTTCATAAGTTAATTTAATGACCTCATAGCTAAATATAGATCTCATAATAAAATAAATACAGTAATTATTTAAACATTGTCATGTCTAATAGATTTAAATATTAAAATCTCAACTTAAAATTAGCCTTCTTGTCTTACAACTGAACAAAAACGTGATGGCGTTTGGCCAAGAAATGTTTCCCACGGTTGGCACAATTAACAGGCAATTCATATCGGCGACCCTTGACTATGAATCGACATTGTATAGAACAATGCCGGCTATTATTAAGTTCCTATGCCAACGTATGTAACTATACCCATATTTTTCTAATGGTGATTTTATGCTCTAAAATCTATAGACTGAATAGATTGGTCAAGAGTTTTCTTGAGGAGTGAATTTCGAATGTTTGTTGCATTTTTTTTTTATGGAAGAGGGGGCTAACCAGCAGACGGGTCACCTGATGAAAAGCGACTACCGCCGCCGATTAACGCCTGTAACTCAGGAGTCACAAGCGCGTTGTCGGCCTTTCAAGCAGGAGTACGTTCTTTTCTTGAAGGTTTCAGGTCGTATCGGTCCGCACATCGCAGACGATAACATGTTCTACAGATTGGTTGTGCGAGCATGTCGTTTTTGCCGTATGGAGCGATGGCGGAAAGTTGCGGCCGGTATTAGTCCGAACAATTCCTCGGAGCACTCTCCATGATATATACGATAGAGAATGTCAAGTGAAGCTACATCTATACGTAACGCCAAGGGATCGATCCGGTCGGAGATCTTTTGGCTATCGACAATTCGTTTCGCTCTTTGTTGGACACGGACCACAGGGGGAAGCTGGTACTGGGGTGCCCTTGCATAGAGATGAGAAAAGTATTTCCGAGCTTCTTCGAGGCCAATTTGACCTTACCTTCTAAGTGACTCCGAAACTGGATACTCAATTTGGGTGGACCCAGCGTCGCAACGAGACGGCTGTACACGGAGGTTGTCCGGTCAATGGCACTGTGCGGTGCACCGGTGTGACCGCGCAGAATAAGGCACGCCTTTCGCACCCTCAGAGGATTACGCGGTTACCGCACCGTTTCCACTGGAATTTGGGATGGGTAAATGTGTAAGGATATAAAAGCGTCTGTTCGAGACTAATTAAATGTTGCCTTGACAGTGTTTATCAAACCTTAGTTGGTATTTTCTTTGTATATGTTATAATTAACTTTTTTGTATGCTGTGTTTTCTGGAATAAATAATATCCTTTCTTTCTCTATTTAGTTGCTGTCCCGTAGCCATACACTTTACTTCGTTCTCCCAAGCCACATGGTCGGTCCTAAATGAGATCGTGTCCCGCTTAGCACAATCTTTAAACTGCACTGGTTTACCAATACCAATTTTTTTGTCAAGCAAGACATGTCGAGGTAGCCGAGGGGAGTCCATATCGTGCACTTGCCCCTACCATTCTGTGATTATGTTGGACTCGTTGGACCAAAAAACAGGTAGCCGGGGAACCAAGTACACCTTAGAAAGGAAAGCCCTGGTACCCCGACGTACCTCCTGTATGGCGTGCGCGCTCCTAAGGGCGTCTCGCCAACGCCACAGCCTGCTTCTGCTAGAGTGACAGATGGCCTCACCTGTCACCCTCAGGTCTGCGCTTATGGCTGACGGAGGTCGTCCTGCGACCTCCGGCACCTGAGTCGTCTGCTGTACCTGGCTCGTTCAGAAGGAGACGGTGCACTACGCATTCCACAAATTCTCGCACCATGGCGGCAATCATGTTACTCAGGAAACCTCCAACCAGGAGGGTTCGTTCAACGGCGAACTTTTGGGCCGCCGCGATGAGGCAGCTGACAACCGCTGCCCCCTGTCCACTGAGGTCGAACGTTATAGCTCCGGCCTTCACGTTGTCCGGGGGGCATCCCCCAGGCTTTCATCACAGCGAGCCTGAGCTCTTCCGCTGTGACAGAATCGTCCAGGTCTAAGATACGTACTTTGGTGCATTTAGTGGGCCTGGAGACTAGGACATCGGCTGCGTCCAGTGACTCCCTTAGCTTAGCCGCTATGGCGTCTGCTTTGAGGCCACTAGTAGCGCCGGGGACCTCGAGGAGCCATGCTTCCGTCCGTGTGCTTTACACTAGTAACGTCCGGTATCTCGAGCGCCCTGAGGTCGACGTTGGCCTTGACTTTCGCCAAGACCTCAGAATACCCGACGCCCCTCTCCACTGCTACTGTCGTCAGGGTGACGACGATCGCTGTAGAGCGAGGTGCGCGGAGCCTCCTCGGCACTTCCGTTGCGGCGACGGTGGCCTTTCCGGCCTTTTTGGCCGCCTTCTTAGCAGCTTCTTTGTATCCCTGAGTACCATCCAGCTCCCTTCCAACGGGCGCCGTGCGGTTTTAGCCGGGGCTGGGACTGGGGTGAGGACCTTTTCTTGGGCCTTATTCTTGGCCACGAAAAGCAAGCGTCTCTGCTTTATCAGAACTGTGAGGCTGGGCAACGGTGCGATTTCTAGAATCCTCTCATTGATGATCCTGTTCTTCCATGAGATCTCCAAGATGTTTCGGACACAACGCATATAGAACGCATTGAGACAATGTTCTTGTTTTGTGTATAAGTTTCAGCGGAGCACAAGAGTAGGTATGGATAATACTAATTCCTGGAAAACTATTGATTATTAGTATATTTATTGTTAAATACTTATTATGCCACACTCTTGCCCTTAACACCTCGAACGTGGTAGCCGCCCAACCGATACGAATGTCGATCTCCGCATCAAACGACAGATTGTTCAACAAGTGGACCCCACATAACATAATTTGTGAACACTTGGTACTTCTGTGCAACCTTGACACAATGCAATGGTCTTTTTAACGTTAATGCTCATGAAAATCAAGTAACAGGCGCGGGCGAATTTGTTTAGAATGGCTTGGAGCTCTTCAAAAATATCAGCAGTCTGTAATAAGTCATGTAAGTCCTCCCGTTAGATTTCGGACTTAAGAAGTGAGCCTACCTTCATACATACATATAATACTGTTAGAAATAAAATGTTTAATCACAAACGAATTTTTTTCATTGCTTCAATTAAATAAAAAAACCCTTGGCCGTACACAAATACTCCGATTTCATCCGACATGCACTAAATTTATATTAACACTGAAAGATTTAAACAAAAAACAACTCTGTTTCTAATAAATTAATTGATATAAAACTGTGAATGTATTTATATTAAGGGAGGAGGACGATATTCTCAATGTATTTTGACCTTCATAAGTTTAATCATGTGTATTCTAAATCTAAAATTTTGAATTAAAACTGCATAATATTGTAGTTGATCTACGACAACGATATTTTCAAAAGTTAAGTTGCGTCTTGTTTTTATTATTTAATTTTATAACACCAGCTTCTCCGCACCTAAGAATCGTAACTTGATGTTAAACAGCCAATACCTTTTTTTATAGACACGTGTACAAACGTTTTTTAAAGAATCAGTAACGCGTATGCGAGTCCTTTGGATTTGCAAGCACTATGAAGCTAAATTAACCGCTCATCATCAAGCTGTATGCTTGTTTCCCACCAAGATAGTTAGAAAATTAGGAACACCTGGTCTGTTTGCCAGTTCTAGAAATTGGCAAGTTCTTTCAAAGAAACTATTTAGGCTTTATTATTACATAAGTATAGGCTAGGAACAGAAGAAAACTGTTGATCTTATCCATGAGGTGGCAGATTAAAAATCCAGAATGTCACCACTACTATTTATCCCATGGGTGACGTAAGAGCCGACTAAGGGAGAGAGCAAACTATGCAGAACAACAGCACTGCTAAGAGAACGAAAACTTGAAACAAATCCTGTACCAACCCGTCTGAAGAGCATGGAAACCCTCCTTTCAAAGTATAGGCCTATGTGCGATCATCAGACATAGGCCATCTACTGGCTTTGACTGGGATGACTATGGGTTGGGATGACTATCGATCTATGTTAAAAAACATGTAAATAATAATTTAACTTCTTCATGTTCAACGATGTTGCAGTACTTAGTTATACTAAATTGAATTAGGGATGTTGCGAACATTCGCATCCGCATCCGCAACTGCGGCGCTTCCGCATCGATTTAAACATCTGCATCTGCATCCGCATCGTCAATAATCGATGCGGATAGTCATGCGGCTGCAGATGTACCACTAGTCGCGACAAGATAGAAAATAAGCGTAGCCGGCGACGTCC